CGCACGCACGCACGCACGCGCGCGCACACACACACACACACACACACACACACACACACGCACACACACACCACACGCACGCACGCACGCACGCACGTGCACACACCGTATTATTGTTGAGTGTTGTTGACTGCTTCATAGCGTTGGCATCCCAGGCCATGCATGAGTCATATACGCATGTGCCTGCCAGCGATGATTGGCCGGCAAACTGTCGTGGAGCAGTGCTCCATGGCAGTTTGCTCGCCAATCAGCAAAGTGCTATGGAGCTGCGATTGGTATGGTGAATGCATGTATGCGTGGGCGAGAACTTCATCATTTCAGCCCAGAGTGATGAGGCTTCAGTTGCGCACGATGAACATGGAAGCATGTCCACTGCACTGCATCTTCTCTGCTTGCGCGCAAAAATTTGGCTGGTTTCAAACCAAGCGTCGAACTGGTTTGATGCTTGGTGTCATTAGCCGCAGCTTGAGGCCCATCAGCACGCCAGCAGAGGAAGGCTCTGTGCCTGCTGCTGTTCGCCACAAGTTTGCACCCCGTGCTGTGCCCTGATTTGCCTGTAGACATTTACAACGGGAATCGACACAGAATGGCAAAATGGGAAGCGAACATGGCAACCAATGGATCACCCCTGGAGATGGGGTTGAAATCTCGCCGACACCTGCTAATTGGAAAGGCTGGATGAGTACGGTGACCCAAATACTTGCAAAATCAAGGCAGCGTTGCACGGTCTGGTATAACGCGCATGTGGCATGTGCGCATGCCAATTCACAGGCGAAGACATCCTACTGTAGTGCACAACAAGTAGAAAAGCCCTGTCAATGATCACTTGGTGCCAAATCTGGCCACAAGGCACAGCCATTCGCAGCGGATCTTGTAAGCAACCCCTCTCTAGTATGCCAAGTGGCAGCCAAGAGCTTGTCAGCAATCTTCACATAATCAAACTGCGATGGTTCACCCTTTACGTACTTGCACGCCGCTGATGTTTCTTTGTGTTGGGGTTGTTTGCCCTGGGTGCGACAAAAAATAGCCACAGCAAGTACTTTTCAATACTAACCCCTACAAACAACCCTGATCCCTGCATGAGATGGGGTGAGCCTGACAGCCCAGCTCCTCCCCATTCATATACATCATGGCTTGGCCGCCGTTTGGCAGTTTCTGCCCAAGCAGCATGAGATTTGGGCCATGCAGCCAGTCAGTCTATGGGTTGGTGCATTCGGTGCACTCAGTCTGCCAGATGTTGACCCAAAATAGACCATTCACCATCTGCAGCTGTGGACAGGAATATCATTACATGGTGGCAAGGGGAGGAGTGAGAATGAATGGGTGTTGGAATAGCTCAGGTTCACAGGGCCGGCATGAATGTGAAGTCAAGGTTGCAAGGATCCATACACAAGATCATTTGTGTGGCCCCGTAGGCATGCATATGGCTAGTCTGAAACGCCCCATCAGATAAGACCGGCAAAACCTGCAGAATGCGACTTGTAACTGCCAGCACCACGAGAAACTTCGAACGGCAAAGCGGGGCCAGAATTAGCGCCGGCAACGGAAGGGGACATACACAGGTTGCGTGGGGCGTTTGATTGCATTGGGCAGAGTC